TGCCCTGCAGAGCCCACCTTCGGGCCTATCCCTCCTTTCCATTTCTGGGTTAACGCCTGCCTTTCCGCTAACCCCGCGAACCGACTTGTTGGTAATATTCAGTCGGCTAATGTTTAAACCCCGTTAGCTCCGCTCCGTTCGGCTCCGCCAATTGCGGACCCATCCCCGCTGTAACCATATATATATCCCACTTGTACATAGGTTACACCCCAGTAGTAAAATCAACTAGAGTTACCCCCCTAGGTTCTAATTGCCAGTCAGTAAGTTAGGGCATGGACGTGTCACTAGGCACAGCGCTCTTGGCAGAAGTCGCTGAGGCCGAAGCCCTCCGTTACGGAGACATTCCTTTGTCTCAAATCTGGTCTCTGACAAATGAGGGGGGAATGAGGGGGGATATAGAGGGAAATGAGGAAAATTTGAAAAATAGGGACTTCTAAAAAGTTGAAAAAAATAATTAGGGAAAAAATCAAAAAAATTCAGGAACTGTAGTGCCTTTGAAGTGCTTTCAGGATATATAATTATTTGCAAAATCAAGGAAGAAATGATGGAGAAAAATGGAAAATACTTTTGGAGACCCGAGAAATAATGAGAACTGAATTGATGGGAAAGTCTGAAAATTGAATAGGAAAGTGAGGGGAAGCCTTGTAGCATTGTTATTTTCTGCTGTTCTGATTTTTCCCGATTCTTCTTGGTCTCATTCCCAGCTGCTCCTCAATACTCCAGGAAGCTCCTGAAAGCTCCTGGGAGGGTCCAGGAGCAGCTGGGAGTGAGACCAAGAACAATCAGGAAAAATCAGAACAGCAGAAAATAACAATGCTTACAAGGCTTCCCCTCACTTTCCTATTCAATTTTCAGACTTTCCCATCAATTCAGTTCTCATTATTTCTCGGGTCTCCGAAAGTATTTTCCATTTTTCTCCATCATTTCTTCCTCAATTTTGCAAATAATTATATGTCCTGAAAGCACTTTAAAGGCACTATAGTTCCTGAATTTTTTTTTGATTTTTCCCTAATTTTTTTTTCAACTTTTTAGAGACCAAAATTTTCCTCCCACTGCTCCTGGCACATTACATACTCCTCACCACTCCCAGCTGCTCCTGAACCCCCTCCCAGGACTATTGGCTCCAGGAGTGCCCAATCTGCTGTTTTGTCTCCCACATGCTCCAGCCACTCTTGATGCTCTGGAGCATAACGGACTTTTGCTGATGTGTGATGCCGACACAAGTCTGCAAAGGGATGCAGGAATCAGCATGGTGCTGATGAGTCTGCAACAGAGGGTGGTCTGTCAGTGCTGTCATAAAAGGACAGCATGATGGCCAGCAAGATACGGAGGGGAGTGTTGACCTGACCAGAGGTGTCAAGGACAACCAGAAATGGACAGAGGTTGCAGAAGGTGCGGAAGCGGTGCATGGTCGATAGAACAGACATCGGGTTGGGGCTGGTATGGATGGGTTCAGGTTGGCGGAATCGCCTGTCGGCATTGATTCGCCGCTGACGGAGCCCTGGGATTTGTCAGTTGTGACAAGTGGCCACTATGTATCGAATGGTCCCTGCACGAAGGGCAGCAAGGACTGCTTGACGGTCACTGTCATCCATTTCTGCGTGAAATGGAGATACCATTTTTGTCGCTGCTTTGCAACACTGGGTCACATCCATCCAAGGTAGTCCCTCTGCTAGTTCCACCACAAGCCACTGACAAAGTGTCATCACTTTTTCAATGGTACGGCACGCAAACAAGGTCGGGGTCAGATCAATCGGTGAATTGATAACTTGTGGAATGACCCAAGCAAGGTCCGGAAATGTTGTGCTTTCGGTGGAATTGAGAAGGAACCGAGCACAATATTTCAAGTCAGGGCAGTCAATCGGTAGTTTAATGTTATGGAACTGATTCTTCTTGAACCCTAGGATCCCCTGGACTTTGGTGCGGGAGTCCTCATGAAGGGAAGCTGACATCGCAAGGAAAGTGATGCGTGTGGGTAATCGCATGCGCAGTTCACATAGTCTCAAGTAGTCCTTTCGGAATGACAATCCCCATTGAAGTACAAGGTGGACTTCATCTATGAAGACAAACCCGAGCTTCCGTATGAAACATTCATTGCGGAATAGTTTGGCCACTGGTGGGCTCTGAAGCATCTCTGGGCCCATCCCAATCACATCCCATATTCCATCGCTAATTTCCCTCCACAGATCCCGTCCTTCTCTGGCAGCCATTGAGGCTAGGATGCTTGCACTCACTCCGATGAAGCGGACACCCTTCTGACGTGCCTTGAACTCCTAGATTTCTATTTGGTCCGTAAGTGCGGCATGATATTGAAGACAGATACTGACTTGGTCAATTATTAGTGACTCGGTTGGGTAGATGACAATGGCAATGTGATCCTTTCCTGCGACTTCGCGGGCAATAACCGGTGCTAGGGTGAGGATTGACTTCCCGCTTCCAGTCCTAAATGTAAGGAACACTTCCTGTCCTTTGAATAGGTCGAGGGAATGTGAAATTTGCCATGGTCGGGGCTCCTTAATTCCCAGCCATTCCGCCAATATTGCACCCATCCATTCTTCGGAGCGAGTCTCAAATCGTCTCAAACTCTGACGGAGCTCATCAAGCTTCTTGTCATACTCATTACACTTGAGAGATGATGCATCATGGAGGATCAAAGCACTCATATGGCAAATTTTCGGCGTGAGGAGAAATGAGAACCCGAGATGTCCCGACACGTGATCTTTTGTATTGGATAACAAACTGGGAAATGGATACAAGAGACCCTTTACGAGCCTTCGCAACAATTCAATAAAAATCCGCATAGTGAACCCATCAAGTTAGTCCCAGACTAAGTCCGCTCCTAGTTATTCTCCACCTCTTCATCCCAGTCTCGTCACTCTCAATCACTATGTGCCCTCCTATAAACCTGTGGCACGGTATGGACGCTGCGTGACACCCCTCGGTCCATTCTACCCCGTCATATTCGCTTACAGACCATCCGCAAGGGACCCTACACAAATTCCTAGGTTCTGCACATCAAATTGGGGTCTTACATACCCCTCTCAATATTCATGTGCATGATTTCCTCCATTTTTACCGTCTCTCACTCTCCCTGTAAATTAGCCCAGTAGTAGATTTACCTGTTCAGGTATCCTAGTGCGGACCTTATATAATGCCCGATGAGAGGCTAAGTGTTCATTCATGAGGTGCAGGTCCCCAGGGAATCGGATAATCAGGGTTGGTCATCATGAACGGGGCATTGGGATGACACAAGGAAATGATGATATCAATTCAACACGTCAAAAGGAGCAATTACATGCATATGCCAAGAGCCCGTTAATATGTAGTAAACTGGTTCGCCTCCGGTCGCTAAAAGTTAAAAATTAAAAACACCGGTTAAGTTAGAAATTAGTATTGGCAGTTGCGATCCTTGTATATGCCCAGCAAACGTGGTCGTCATACCACGCAAGTGCTAAATGGAGGGGGGTACAAGTCCGTCTAAATTGATGAATGCAATCATCCCTCCCTCTCCACCAATGCTGACATGGTTACCGTGTTCCGCGATTGGACAGCTAGGCTTGAAGTAGTCGGGTAGCCAACAGATGTGCAGGGAAAGGTTTTCGCGCTTGATGCAAAGAGCATTATGATCAAGAAAGAGATGGGATGGTAAAGATTTGCGGAAAGATGTTGAAATTGGGTTGGATATCCCGCTTAACTTTGGAAAGCTGAAATGTTTTGTGTCTTTCTGACCTCGGACGCGAAGTGTTGAGGCATCGGTGGAAAATAGCATTTGGTAGGGACGAAAGTTCTCATTGAGCTGTGTCTGCTCAATGCAACTCCTGTCGGCAATGTCCCAGGCACACACTCTGCCATCCTTGGAAGCCGAAACAAGATGGCGTCCATCAGGCGAAAATTCCACACAGGAAATGGTGTCAACATGACCTTTCGTTGCCTTTGGCCCTCGAGTGGGTGATTCCATCGTTGCATCCCAGACATGTACAGTGCCATCCAAAGATGCCGAGGCCAGATAACAACCATCTGGCGAAAAATTCACGGAGGAAACCCAACTAGTATGCCCTTTCAGCTCTCGAAGAGGCGCTCCTGTTGCCACATCCCAGATGCGCACTGTGCTGTCGTCTGAGGCCGAGGCCAGATGATGGCCATCCGGCGAGAAATCCAAGGAGTTGACATCACTGGTATGTCCCTTCAGCTCTTGAAGCGGGACTCCTGTTGCCACATTCCAAACATGTATGGTATTATCCGATAAGGCTGAGGCCAGATAACATCCATCTGGCGAAAACTTCACAAAATAGACGCTGGAGGCATGTTCCTCCAGTGTTCGAAAAAGCGCTCCTGTCGATGCATCCCAGATATGCACGTTGGTACCATCTGAGGCTAGATAACGCCCATCTGGTGAAAAGGAAACAGAATAGGGAATGGCATCATGATCCTTCAATTCCCGGAGGAGCTCGCCTGTTGCTGTATCCCAAACTCGCACAGTGCGATCGTACGAGGCCGAGGCCAGACGAAGGCCATCAGGGGAAAATGTCACAAAGCTCACCACGCCAGTATGCCCCTTCAGTTCTCGAAGGCATGCTCCCGTTACCGCATCCCAGGACCGCACAGTACAATCATCCAATGCCGAGGCCAGATGAATGCCATCTGGTGAATATGCAACGGAATTGGCCTCACGAGGATGTCCCTTCATTTCCCGAAGAAGCACTCTCGTCGCCGCATCCCAGATCCGCACAACACCATCCGCACAGGCTGAGACTAGATGACAGCCATCTGGAGAAAATACCACAGAGCTGGGTCCACTTGGGCTGTGGATTATCCCCGCTTGCGGTGACCATGGTTGGCTGCTATCCATTCCATAAGAAACAATACGGCATTCAACAGCCCACTTCTTTGGAAATGTTGCATCTAACGGGCTACCTGATGGAATAAATGGATGGCTACTTCCAAGTATAGATAAGGACGAGGCCGCTAATGCACTCCGGGATCGCTCGACTAGACAGAGCAGGTCACGAATTACGTGACTTATACTATTGACTGCTTGAATGCCGACCTTCAAAACGCCAAAGTGAGCCATACGCTAGTATCCAAGTAATTTTTGACGTACTAGCCATCGCTGTAGTTCTTTCATGCCTTGGCACGCTTGGTCAATTTCACCCATGATTCCCATTGCCGCAATCCAGTGGAGAAGGGCTGGGACAGTGCCGGAAAGGGCCTTCATTATTTCATCGTCCTGGGACTTGCCCGACTTACAAAGGAGAGTAATCCAATGACGGCACACAAACTTCAGCTGCGTCGTCATCAGCCTCTCAAACTCCGGTTGGAAATCAGGAATTTCTGCATCTACTTGGAAATGCCATAGCGTTGGCAACCGATCCAGCACTGCACATCGCCCAAGCAGCTTCAATGCAAAAAGTACCATGTCTTTCCGCGGGGAGAGCTCAAAAAATGGAACCAGGTCATCTTTGAGCGAATCATAGGTAACTGAGGAACGCCGATGCAGTGTAAGACCCTCCTGCAGCTAATGGACAGATGAGACGGTTCGCGACTCCGACAGCAAGATCTGCACACCGATGAATCCAAGAAGCCTATGATAGATGATATCGAAGTGATGATATCATCTTCTTGAGGTTGTTCCGGGGACGGGAGCATCTGACTCAATTCACTGGAAGACAGAAGTTAGCATTGCGTGAAAAGTGCAGTCCACACCATGTTTACTAACTCGGCGAAACTGTTTGCGAATATCCGTGCACCTTGAATCCCATAACATCCATGGAGGTGTTCGTGTAACGCCTGCTGCAGCGCAGCGTGGATTCCTTGGATGGACGAGAGGACTTGAAATGCATTGGGTGGGGAAAACCTCTGATATGCAGACTCCTGCCTCAAACCGATCAGTTACGGTGATTAGCATGGCACACGGGCCATTCTCTCACATGGTGATGTTTTATAGCGTCAAGGACGGACTTAACAGTCTTCGCCAACGTTGAGTCTGCGATTAAACGAGAGAATTTTAGAATTGTCTCTGAATTGTCATTAATTTCTTTCGCAATGTGCGGATATGTCAAAACTTTGATGGGGTTTCGTCTCTTAGCACCGATTGTGGGATGGTTAAGAAGCCCTTTCTCATACTTCGCCCCAAACATCCGCATCAACATTTCCTGAATGATGGAAGCGAAAAACCAACAGTTTTCCTACACGTAGTGAGTGGATCAACAGATGATAGCACAGGGTCAGACACTGGCACTTACTTTGGTTAGCTTGTAACCAGGAGATTCCGCTGCAACAGCATACAGAATTTGCGCAGCCGCGATCAAAGGAGCAGGAGTAGGGAAGACCATGACAGCCTCTACGCCGGACTTGGTGTTGGTGAAATCAAGAAGGTGGTCGAGTCTGCCAGAAACAGCAGCCTATCGAGTAGCACCGCCTCTTAGCTGCGGTAAAGACATCAAAGGGTTTGTTAAATACCGTATCTATCGCGTGTGACGTTCCCAAATCCCGTACTCCAAACAACCACAACGGGACTTTGTGGTCCCGTCTGCGATCCAACCGAAGATAGAATTCCCTTCCGTCGGCTCGAGTGACATGCAGGATGAGAAATCGATGCGGCACCCCTTGAAGATCGCCATATCGTCGAACGGACACAATCCTGGCATTTGCAGCACGACGACTGTTGAATAAACTTTCGCAGAACGTTCGGACAGAAAAGATTCGATATGGCTTCGAGTCCAAGCATTCGGCGAGGAAAGCGCCTGCCGACGCAATGCTTGCAACTTTCTTCCTTAAAGACGATGTGAACGATGCAGAAGATGTAAAAGATGGGGCGATTGTGGATGAACCATCGGATAAAGTGGGTGTTGACCCGGAAAATGGGACGTTAAGTTGGTCACGAAGCGTTGTAGAAGATGTGTCATCGGGCAGAGGAGGCTCGAGTGAGGGCTCGATTCCCTCATCAAGCTTTAAAACTCGGATGAGTGAGGATTCAAGGCATCATAATATTGATTCTTACTTCGAAGAGAAAATCGTCGACCGAGGCAGGTTCTGGGAAATCAGGAGGCTCGGTCGCTACCGGCAAAACGCTTGGCGAAGTCGAGCTTGAAGCGAAGGAGGGGATCGTGTCATGGAAATATCCTTCGGGGCCACGCTGAGACGGTAATAACATAGCGATCGCTTCTGATAAGGAGGTCGACGGCTTGAACAAGAAGGACCCAAGGCTCTGAAAATAGCTGACTCACTATCGACGGAATTGGTGGCATATTCGGTGGTGTTTCCAGCGCCAGTAACAACATTTCCGGAGTCCTGGTGGTTTGGCGTTGTTGCAGTGGACGTACTAGAAGTCTGGGCCGAGCCCTCGTCCTCCGGAAGAACCAATGTAGGAACGTCCATGTCTCTAGATAGAAGAGATCGAAGGTGGAGGATGATTTGGAAATGGAACTAGGCACGCGCTAGGCTTGTCAGCATTGTGACAAAGCCATCACCGTTGGGAGCCGCAGCGGAGGAAAAAAAGAGCAAGGTATCAACCTACTGCAAATTATCTGAGACCTTAAGTTGTGTGGCGTTGAGGCCGTCCGTCGCCGAGGTGTCCGATCCCGTCAAAATTATTATCAGGAATGGTGGGGGAGATCAGCAATGTCTACGAAGCAGAGGCGAAGACGTGCGGCAAAGGTGGGGGTATTAGGGAAATGACCACGTGGATGCAGGCAGGGAAAGAAGCTCTTCATTTGCTTGTGAAGGTTGGACCTAATCCCATTGCGGAATATTACTGAGTGTACCGAAAAAGGTACGGATGGGCGGCGAAGCACATGCATACCCACACCATAACTGCTCAACGGTTCATGAGGACGCCCGAGATATGCGCTTGCATGTAGTTTCCGGGTGCAGTCGAGCAAGACATGTATCGAACGGCTATTGGCAAGAGGTTCCCAAATCGAGCATCCCCAGTTGAAGGCCACAGCCATTCGTATCGGGGAGGTCCGTCGGCCCTGGACCCAAATAACACCCAACAACTAACCGCAACGTTAACTGGAGGATTTGTTGTGCGCACTGAGCACGACATACCATTGTTCATGTTCTACTTCCTCGTTTCAGTATCGTCCGTCGATCCTGCTGTATGGCGTCATGTAAGCCTGAGGCATGTCGTAGCTTAGATGCCGCTCTTCCTCCTGTCTGGGGCCGCCCTCCCGTTCGAAGCAGATGCGTTTCGATTTGATTCTATATCGTGCTCCCCCTTCTCAGGCGGAATCTGCCAAACAAGACGACGCAAGGGGCCACTCCATGCGCTTTCTTTTTCCAACGTTCAAGCATACGTCCATCCTAGTCATCGACTAACCGTGTGCGGAGGCGGCGTGAGATTCGAACCGATGTGGCTGTTTTCCCTTCAGGCTCTAGACGGATCACCTGCTCTCCTGACGTCTTTTCCTACTGAAAGCGGTAGTGGTCCTTTGCATACCACGCTGATCAGCTGTCCAAAACATCGGCTCTGAGTGGTTCAACCGAGTAGCATCGACATTATCAGCGCATGGCTGCAGTGCACGCGTATTTTGAGATGCTCGCTACTTCTGGTGCGCCATGACACATCCGGCCCATTGCTTCGCCGGCTCCACTCGGCGGTTACAGTGGCGTTGAGTGGAGTAGAGTGGCGCTACAATTTGGCTACAATGGCCCTTCTGGTCGACCTCGGTTAGCGTTTGCCAGATTAATATACACTCTCCAGGGTTGCCCTGTTGGACTGGCGACATGTACATGCTGTTCTGACCACGCCAAAGTCACTATTGGAATAGATTTATCTTACGCAGTCCTCATGTGCTGCCAAGTTGCCCTGGTTCTGCTTCATCGTGACTTTGACACGATGCTGGAAACCGCGACTAAGGATGAGGAGAGTGTGGCTTAATTCGTTCACAGCCCAACATCCCTCTAGTCCATGTCGCGTCCATGTACAATCCGGCGATTCCTCATGACATGCCACACATATTACAATTTGACCCTCTCTTCCTCTGCACCCCCCTTTGGTGAATGTTTGTGCAACATTAACCCAGACCCGGGGCTCAAAATATTCATACCATGAATATCCATACGCCCCCGAGGGCACACTCCCTGGCACCTTGCCACTTGGATCGATTGCGATGCGTTGCGCATGTTTGATATGTCTGATGAGATAGTTAGATTCTGCGTAGTGAATGATACGATCTTTCGCGCCGTGGATGACTAGGATGGGAATCGATAATGGTATGGAGGGGAGAAGAGGGCGAGTGTCAGTGTTGCGGACCTGAAATGACAATGACATCAAGAGAAAGTACCGATAAGGCCTGGCGAGCTGCACGGCAATAACAAGATGAAGATGAGTCACCCTCATGCGATTGCATCTTCCGCCATCGGTAACGTGGTAGTTTCTTCCCGCTTGCTCGTCTTCACTATAGAAGCTCCGAAATCTCTACATGAGGCCGGTCTGCATTCGTGAGCCATCAACTCGTTCATATAACCCATACCGGTGATCGAACACCAATACTAACACAGCGCATGAAAGCGAGCAAAACGCCATTAGAAAAAATTAACAGCCTACCAGGTCTCAATTTACTGAAGCATGCTGAGAGTTTCCCAATCTTCATATCGCCCTAACATACCATTGATGAGGACAATGGGGCGGACACCTCTCTTCAGGTGATCGGCTCCTAGTATCTCGTACCCCAACTGCGCTCCATTCGCAAGAGGAAAAACCTGGGGTGTCATGATGTTGACCCGCGGCAAGGCTATTCCCGGATATTCCCATGCCTCACCAAATCATGTGGCCGACACTATCAACAGAGCTGTCAGTGTCAAAGCTCCGAAAGCAGGCCTCGCGAATCCACCCTACATCAAGACCACGTAGTGTGACGGGTAAGTGCGAACATAGTGATATAAATGCTCGTGTCGGTATATACTCTACTGGTATGAGTCATACCAGATGACCTGCTCTTGAATTGGACCGTCTCGCGTGTAAAAACCGTGAATTGTGAATCATGCGCCCAAGATAAGGCCCCGAACAATATGGAAACCCTGAGAATTTACTCCTTCGCCTCCCTATCCATAATCTCTTTCGTCTTTTCTATTCTAGGCGGATGCTGTCCTTTCCCGTCTTCGGACAGGGGCAGTGATTGTTGAATGGGTTCCCACGGGGATGAGAGTGGTCAAACGGGTCAATATTTAGTGAGCGCACCAGTGCAGTTACTCAGACGCTTATATACTATCTAAGACGGTAGGATGGCTGGTAACCCCAGACACCTCTTTATATTGACTAAGTCACGAGTACTAGGTTAGGTGTCCGAGATACAAGTATCCGCCGCCCAGCTTGGTACACTCAGTAATATTCCGCAATGGGGTTAAGTCCGACCTTCATAAGCAAATGGAGTACTTCTTCCCTGCCTGCATAGCCTTACACGTGGTCGTTTTCCCAATACCACCCTTACCGCGCGTCTTCTTGAATCTTCGCCTCTCTGCTCCGTAGACATTGCCGATCGCCCCACCATTCCTAATATCTCGACGACGGACGGTTTCGCAACTTAAGGGCTCGGATAATCTGTGGTAGGTTCGTACCTTGCTCTCTGCTGCGGCTCCCAACCGTGATGGCTTTGTCACGATGCTAACAGACCTAGCCCCTAGTTTTATTTCCAAGTCATCTTCCACCTTCGATCTCTGTCTAGAGACATGGACGCTTCTATATTGGTTCTTCCGGAGGACGAGGGCTCGGCCCAGGCCTCTATTACACCTACTGCAACAACGTCAAGCCATCAGAACTCCGGAAATGCTGTTGCTGGCACTGCTGGGAATACCATAAATAGTGAGTGATTTATTTGTGGAGTCCTAGGTACTTCCTGTTCAATCCTTCGACCTCCTTATCAGAAGCGATCTCTATGTTATTACCATCTCAGCATTTAGCTGCCGAAGGGTCTTTCCATGACACGATCCCGGCAGCCACCGAGCCTCTCGCTTTTCCAGAATCAGCCTCGGTCGACGATTTTCTCACCGACGTAAGAATCGATTTTATGGTGCCTTGAGCTCTCACTCATCCGAGTTTTAAAGCTTGATGAAGGCATCGAGCCCTCACTCGAGCCTACTTTATCCGATTCTTCATCCACAATTGCCCCATCCTTTGCATCTTCTACGATCAAGAAAGTCACAAGCATTGCATCAGCAGCCGCTTTCTTCGCCGAATGCTTGGACTCGAGGCCCTATCGAATTTTTTCTGTGCGGACGTTCTGCGAGAGCTTAGTTAACAGTCGTCGTGCTGCTAATGCCAGGATCGTGTCCGTTCAACGATATGGGGATCTTCAAGGGGTGCCACATCGATTTCTCATCATGCATGTTACTCGAGCCGATGGAAGGGAGTTCTACCTTCGGTTGGATCGCAGACGGGACCGCCAAGTTTCCTGGCTGTTGTTTGGCGTACGGGATTTGGGAACGTCACGCGCGATAGATACGGTGTGTAACGAACCCTTGGATGTCTTTACCGCAGCTAAGAGGTAGTACTACTCGATAGGCTGCAGTTTCTGGTAGACTCGACCACCTTCTTGACCACACCAACAAGAAGTCGGGCGTAGAGGCCATCATGATCTTCCCTGCTCCCGTTCCTCTGATCGCGGCTGCGCAAGTTCTGTACGCGATCGCAGCAGAATCTCCTGATTACAAGCTAACCAAAGTAAGCATCAATGTCCGACCAGGTGCCATCATCAGTGATCCACTAACTACGTATAGGAAAATTGTTGGTTTTTCGCTTCCGTCATTCAGGAAATGTTGCTGCGGAGGTTCGGGGCAAAGTATGAGAGAGGATCTCTTAACCATCCCACAATCGGTGCTGAGAGACGAGACCGCATCACAGTTCTGACATATTCGCACATCGCAAAAGACATTAATGCCAAAACGGAGACAGTCATAAAATTCGCTGATTTAATGGAAAATTCAAGGCTAACGAAAGCTGTGAAGTCTTTTATCGATACTGTAAACTACCATGTGAGAGAATAGCCTGCGTGCCGCCATTCGCCGTCACTGATTCGGTTGGAGCTATCAGCGTGCTTATCACAGTTCCCCACCCAACACATTCCAAATCTCCACATCCACCCAAGCTCTCCTTGCCGCATTGCAACGGACATTACACGAACACCTACATGGGCTCTATGGAACCCAAGGCGCACGGATCTTCCGAAACGATTTCACCGAGTTAGTACATTAATTGGTTATTCCACTGTGAACGGCCTATTTTACGCAACTGCCGCGAACTTTCTGTTTTCTAGTAAATTAGTTCAGATCCTCCCATCATTGGAACAACTTCAAGAGGATAATCTCACTACTCCAATATCGAGTATCATACACCTCTTGGAATCATCTGTATGTGGATCACACTGGAGTCGGAGTTGTGAACTGTCTAATCTATCCACTAGCTGCAAGAGGCTCTTGCACTGCATCGCCCTTCCTCAGTCACCTATGATTCGCTCAAAAGTGACCTGGATCCATTTTTTGAGCTCTCTCCAGGGAAAGACACGGTGCTTTTCGCACTGGAGCTGCTTGGGCGATGTACAGTGCTGGATCAGTTGCCAACGTTATGGCGTTTTCAAGTAGATGCAGAAATTCCTGATCTCCAACCTGAGTTTGAGAGGCTGATGACGACGCCGCTGAAGTTTGTGTGCCGTCATTGGATTACTCTCCTTTGTAAGTCGGACGAGTCCCACGACGATGAAATAATGAAGGCCCTTTCCGATGCTGTCCCGGCGCTTCTGCACTGGATTGCGGCAATGGGAATCATGGGTGAAATTGACCAAGCATGCCAAGGCATGAAAGAACTACAGCGATGGCTAGTATGTGAAACATTACTTGGGTACTAGTGTATGGCTCACTTTGGTGTTTTGAAGGCCGACATTCCAACAGTCAATAGTGTAGGTCACGTAATTCGGGACCTGCTCTGTCTAGTCGAGCGATCCCGGAGTGCATTAGCGGCCTCGTCCTTATCTATACTTGGAAGTGGCCTTTCATTTATTCCATCAGGTAGTGCATTGGATGCAACATTTCCGACGAAGTGGGCTGTTGAATGCCGTATTGTTTCTCATGGAACGGATAGCAGCCAACCATGGTCACCCCAAGCAGGGATAATCCACAGCCCAAGTGAATCCCACTCTGTGGTATTTTCTCCAGATGGCTGTCATCTAGTCTCAGCCTGTGCGGACGGCGTTGTGCGGATCTGGGATGCGGCGACGAGAGCGCTTCTTCGGGAAATGAAGGGACATACTCGTCAGGCCAATTCCGTTGCATATTCACCAGATGGCATTTATCTGGCCTCAGCATCGGATGATTGTACTGTGCGGTTCTGGGATGCGGTAACGGGAGCGAGCCTTCGAGAAATGAACGGACATACTGACAGTGTAAATTTTGTGACATTTTCCCCTGATGGCCTTCGTCTTGCCTCGGCCTCGAACGACCACACTGTGCGAGTTTGGGATACAGCAACAGGGGAGCTCCTCCGGGAATTGAACGGTCATAATTCTATTGTTCGGTCCGTTTCCTTTTCACCAGATGGGCGTTATCTAGCCTCAGATGATACCAACGTGCGTATCTGGGATGCATCGACCGGTGCACTTGTTCGGACATTGGGGGAACATGATTTCTGTGCCTATTTTGTGAAGTTTTCACCAGATGGGTGTTATCTGGCCTCAGGCTTGTGGGGTGGGGCTGTACATGTCTGGAATGTGGAAACAGGAGTCCTGCTTCGAAAACTGAGCAGACATACTAGTAGTATCAGATCTCTGCATTTTTCACCAAGTGGGCGTCACTTAGTATCGGCTTCAGATGACCACACGATGCGCATCTGGGACGTGGCAACAGGAGCACCTCTTCGAGAGCTGAAAGGGCATACTAGTTTGGTTTGGTCCGTGAATTTTTCGCCAGATGGTTGTCATCTGGCCTCGGCATCTGGGGATGGCACTCTATGTGTCTGGGATGTGACAATGGAAGCACCCCCTCAGGGGCCGAAAGCAATGAAAGGTCATGTTGACACCATCTCCTCTGTGGAATTTTCACCTGATGGATGCCATCTTGTTTCGGCCTCCAAGGATGGCAGAGTGTGTGTCTGGGACATTGCCGACAGGAGCTGTGTTTTGCGGAAACAGCTCAATCGGGGCTTTCACCCCTACCAAATGTCATTTTCCGCTGACACCTTGATGCTCTGCATCCAAGGTCGGAACGCAACAAAACATTTCAGCTTTCCAAAGTTAAGCAATGTATCCAGCCCAATTTCAACATCCTTCCATGAATCTTCACCATCACATCTCTTTCTTGATCACAATGCTCTTTGCATCAAGCGTGAAAAACTTGTGCTGCATGTTTGTTGGCTACCTGACTACTTCAAGCCTAGCTGTCAAATTGTGGAAAATGGTAACCATGTCAGCATTGGTGGAGGGGGGGGGATGATTGCATTTGTCAATTTAGACAGACTTGTTCCTCCCTCCATTTAGCACTTACAGTCCTAACCCAGCCAATGCACACCCAATTTTACCTTGTGTTCCCACGGTGCTCACACATCGACAACAACACCAATGGGCATGATTATTGGAGATAATGTACATTAGATAGTTTTCCAAATAATATCAAAAGTTGGAGATCAAGTGATAAAAAATGGAGTAAAGTGTGAATCTTTACCATGGTGCATTTTATATTGAAAAGTGCATTCAATGCAACAAACTACTTGCCATCATCCTCTGAAGTGAGTCCATACTCACTTGAGCCCCCTGGGGCCCCGAGTCCACCATTAACACTCCCTTCAATCTCTTCCTCCGAATTCAGGGTCCATTACTAGTGCCCAAACCTCTGTGTGCATGGCAACATGTGGCCTCTGTGGAGGTTTCTCACTGTCATATCCCAAATCTTCCACCTCCCTCTGCCCTATCCCTATATGACTCCTATGACCTCCACCAGCCCTCCCAATCTCTCTCTCTGCTGCCTCTGGTCGATGCCAATGACCCTAGGACTACCTCCTCCTTTGACTCTCTCCCACTCTGCCTCCCATCTACGTCTGCATCACCTCTGGACCTCCACCACCATACCTCCACCTCCTCAGACCCCTTGTTCGAAGGAGATGTGCCTGCTTGTTGTTGATAAATCTCAACTTGCCTATCCCCATTCCTATATTACCTCCAGTCTTGATAATCTTTATTGTTTTATCATTTGATATTTTCTACAACCCCAATCTTTTGGACTACAACTTCCGGGTTCCAGACCTTTCCGGATGCCTTTCTCTGTAGTTCCCTGCTTGTTCATAGACATTTCCAGACCTTGCCATTCAGTTGGCTTTTAATTCTCTCACTCCACAAACCTCAGATGTAATTCAGGCTTTTTGCCTATTCCTTATTTGTCTTGTGGATTCTTTTCTATTTACTTCCCCTTCCCCTTGGTAACCTTTGTTTACCTTCAGATCCAATTGTTTCCACTATATGTATGTGCATACCCCTCTAGTAAATAGTTCTCCCCCAGTTATAATATAAACAGTCTTGAGCCCCTCCAAACCCTCCTCCAGGATGTCTATTGTGTTGAAAGAGGGCTCACGGCTCTCTATGCCGACACAGCTTGTGGGGGACAACTCTCCCTAAACTCTACTTTCTCCCTTGACTTCGCTATGCTCGATCCTTAACTCCGGTGTGGGTTCTCCAGGATTTCCCCAAGGTCTGGGCTCAGCGTCCACTACTCACTCATTGTGAGCTAGACCACTCCCCTTATTCCTACTGTTGGAATTCCACTCACTCACACCCACTCTAGCATGTCCTAGCACCTTAGAGAAATTGGGGGAGGGGAGAACTTCTTTTCAAAAATCTGGTATGTATGTACAGGATTATATCTAATAATTATTTTTAGAAAGAATAGATGGCAAATATTGGTGCCATATGGCACCTGGGTACCTGATTAGGCGAAATAATAAAAAAGGGTAACAGTAACAATAAAAGAATATCAATCAATAACTGAAATGATGGCAAAATATGAAAATATAAGAAAATAAGCGATTTCTCAACGTGTCATATCCATACAATCCTGACCTCCACTCCGGGCTCCTGGAACTCCAAACTCCGACTTCCGGAGCCCTACTTCCCTTCCGTCACCTTCTCCTTGCCGACTCCCAAGAGGTTACCCCACCTCCGGCTCCAACACCACCTTCGGTCCAACTCCGGAACATTCCAGGTCCGACCCCAACCTCGACACCTTCCAGACGAGTATGCAACACCTATGCTCCCAACTCCGGACCTCTGCTCCGGAATCCCGTTTGCATCTCCGCCTCCGGAACCTCCGGTCTTAGCTCCGACCTCGGACTTTGACCCCACCTCCGCTTATACCCATTGTATTGGTTAGCTCATTCCATTTAATTACGTTTGCCAATATTCCGGAGTTTAACCTCCGAGTTCGGACTTTCCAGACTTACTCCAGACCTTGCAACTATTGCATTGTCCATTTCAATTCTGCTATTCTCCCTCATTCCTATTTGGGCTGCTGCTTCCTTTCTATTCAGTCAGCTAGCCATTCCCCACTCCCAACCTCCTTCCTTCCTCCTTGGGCCTTGGCCCTTCATTCCTCCTTTGAGAAACACCATTGAGTCAAACCCTTGACCCTTGGTGTTGTTCCTCTTTCCATCTCCCTTTGTCTCCTTTCGTCCTACCCTCACTCCTTTTGATTCCGGACCCCTCCTTATATACAATGTACATAGTAACTTGTAACCTCAGTCCGAAATCAACCTGAAATGCCCCCAAGAGACTTTCCCTCTGCTAGATCCGAAATTAGGGACCCCCAGGACAACCAGCAATGGCACAGCGCTCCGCCTGAGTCGCTGAGGCCGAGGTCCTTCCATGCTAAGTCTCCGATTCCACTCCGGAGTTGTCCGAATCCACCTGGTTCTAACAGTGGCCCCTTTTCTTGTCCCTCCACCTCATTATCAACCTCGTTCACAATTTCCCAATCTTTTACCTTGTCCTTCAGGAAAAAAGTTGCAAGCA